GCAATACACACACACACACACACACACACACACACACACACACACTAAATAAAAATAGTAAATAAGAACATTGTTTAAAGAAAATACATTTCTTAGAGAATACAATGAAATACCATGAAAATAAAGGAATAAAATATTCAGAATTAATTTCACTGAGGAGGTAAAAGACTCTCATCTAGAAAATTACCAAAAATTTCTTGAAGATGAAAGAACATAATTAAACGCAAAGGGTTCTGCTGTTCACAGGTTAGAAGACTTAATTTCATTATTCCTATTGTCTGTAGGACTAGAATGGAACCCAGGGCCCTCTGCATACTGAGTGCTCTCCCACTGAGCTATGTGCCAGCCTGTGGGGACTAAAGGCCCCATCTTGCAGAGGTCCTAGGGAAGTTACTGGGTCGCAGCCTGGCTTGTTTTGAAAGTCTGAAGGATACTTCAGCACTGCTGAGGAGTGCATGATCAGCGCGTGACTGTCCTTAAGATAAACTCTCAGGGGGGAGGGGAATCTCCAGATGCCTTTATAAGCTCTGTAACACCTGCAATAAATGAGTCCCTGCTTGAGGAGGCTTCCCTTTGCGCCTGAGTGTTCCCGGTATTGGGGGCGGCATGGGCTGGCGAACAGCACACTTACTCATCCCCAATCATCACTGTGTGGGGATTGCTGGTTCGAACCCCCGGCACCAGCCCCTAAGATTTTTATTTTCATTTTGCTGCAGGGAGTCACTAAGTTATTCTTGGACTTCCTATGTAGACCAGGTACGCTTAGAACTTGTGATCTTCCTGTCTCAGCATCCTATGTAACTGGAATTATGGGCACATGCCATCCGCCTTAAGAAGACTTAAGTTTTTAAAAAAGATAATATTACTGGGAAGTGATCTGTAGATTCAGTGTCAATTTTATCAAAATGGCAGTGGTATTTTGCACAGAATTAGAAAAATCTATTCTAGGACTCTTGTGGAATCTCAAGGGACCACCAATTAGCTGACAGAATCTTGAAACTGAAAAATAAGGTTAGAATACACACTTCTTGATTTCATAATTTAGTACAAAGATGCTATAGGCAGAACTGTGTGTGACGGAGATGAAGCCTGTAGAGGAATGGGATAGAATGGGAATCCCAGAAATACCCATGTGTACTGTCAAAATATTAAGTTAAAAATTAGTCAATACATAATAAAGAGATATGCTTGTGCAGTGCAGTATGAAATTTTAGTACATATATATGGTCAGGTCACAGCAGTTGGTATGTCTGTCATCTCATTTAGCATGTTGAAAATATTGATTTTTGCTAGCTACTCTGAAAGACAGAATTCATTTTTTCTAGAAGCATTGTTCTATCGAACATATCAGTCATACGATATGTCATATCAGTCATGTCAGTCATATCAGTCATATCAGTCATATCAAACATATCAGTCATATGATATGTCATATCAGTCATATCGAACACATCAGTCATATCAAACACATCAGTCATATCAGTCATATCGAACATATCAATCAAGGGATTGTGACATACTGCATTTTGTGAGTCCTGTCTGAGTGCTCAAACCCTGACCTGGGGACACAGTGCAGAGGGGAGGAGGGCATAGTCGAGGCCTCACAAGCCTGTGTGTGTGAAGTGGGTTAGCCACACCCAGCACCAAGAGGTCACACAAAACTACTCACTCTGAACAAAGAACTCCCCGGTGGCGAAGATATTTTCTTGGTTCTTATCTACGGTACGTAGGACGAAGACTCATGTGTCCTTCTGTGTGATGTTCTTGATCAGCAGGGATCCATTGGTGTACAGCGTCACTCTCCTGCTGTATGCGGGCCCCATGTATTTGAAACTAGTCGGTATTTCATATGATGCGATTTTATTTCCCCTGGCCATACCGATGTCTGTAGTATTGGTGGGATCAATTGAGAGCACACTTTCCCACTTGAACCAGTAAAAGGCTACAGGATTTGCCGGCAGATCACGGGCGAGTAGAAGGACACTCTCCCCTTCAGGAACATAGGTTGGTACTGCTTCAATACTGACTCCAGTGGTGGGAAGGTTCCAGAAGCTTAAATGTGAGACTAGGCAGGGAGAGAGAAATCTGTCAATATGGGGACCTTTGTGTTTGACAGAGAGTTAAGACCTGAGCAGGTAGGTTCATCCCTCAGCTGTAGTGAAATTTGTGTATGTGTGTGTGTGTATATGTCTGTGTCTGTGTGTCTGTGTGTATGTGTGTATGTGTATGTGTGTATGGTGTGTGTGTGTTTGTGTGTACATGTGTGTGTCTATGTGTGTATGTATGTGTATGTGTGTGTATGTGTGTCTATGTGTGTATGTTTATGTGTGTGTGGTGTGTGTGTGTATTTGTGTATATGTGTGTCTGTGTGTCTGTGTGTATATGTGTGTGTATGTGTGTGTGGTGTGTGTGTATGTGTGTGTATGTGTGTGTATGTGTGTGTGGTGTGTGTGTATGTGTGTGTCTATATGAGTGTGTATGTATGTGTATGTGTGTTTGGTGTGTATTTGTATATATGTGTGTTTGTTTATATGTGTATGTGTATGTGCGTTATGTGTGTATGTGTATGTGTCTGTCTATGTTTGTGTATGTGTGTATGTGCCTGTGTGTGTATGTGTGTGTGCCTGTGTGTGTGTCTGTGTCTGTGTGTCTGTGTCTGTGTCTGTGTCTTTCTGTCTATCTCCTACCAGGGGATCTACAGCCTGATCTCCGTTCCCTTGGCACCCCTGAACGTGTCCTTTCCTCTGTGTCACACTCCCTCACATGTCTACACTGCTCACCATATGACTTTCCTTGGATGTCTTAAGAGATGATTCCCAGATGGCCTAAGCCAGTCTCTTGTCTCCAAGAGAGCAGCCTGAGAGAGAGGAGAGTACTTCCTGGAAACAGTGCATTCTGGGTGCAGAGTAGCATGGTCAGAGTAGCTGCCTTTAGGTTTTCTGTTGACCTCATTATTCAAAGTGCTCTGCTGCTTTGTGGTCCTGTGTCTCCTCTACTCTCTGCATGCTGAGAGCTTAGACAGGGAGAGCACTGCCAGCTTCCTTCCTCAAAAACAAAAGATTCTCTTCAACAAAGGCATCTGCCTGTCAACTACTTAACTGCTAAAAGGAGAGTTATTACCTTAAATCTACATGACAATCTTCACCTTTTAAAATAATAGTTTTTTAATTATTTTTTTTATTTTAGGCATGAGTGTATTTCCTGCATGTATGTAAGTGTAGCTGTGTCATGCAATGCCTGAAGAGGTCCGGAAAGGGTGTTAGATCCCCTGGAATTGGAGTTAGGGGAAGTTATTAGCTGTCATGTGGGTGCTGGGAATGAACTCACATCCTTTGCAAGAGCAGCCAGTGTTCTTAACCTCTGAGCCATTTTCCAGGGCCCCAAATTCACTTTTTGGTCTTTATGCCACACTCTTCTCCAACCTTAAAGAGGAAGGGACTTAGACTTTCCGCATTTTCTTGTTGCACCTGCACTGTATATCGTTGTGTCACATGTGTCTCTGGTGTGCTCCTGCCCTGCATGTATGTCCTCCAGTCCTGTCTGCAACAGGCTGTGGTCACTTCCGTGTGCTTCTTATTAATTTGGGTTATGTTCCAAAATCATTATTTCTGTTTTGATCATTCCCAATTAAAATACACTTGTGCAGGTATAATTGGTGTTTTTGGTAATGTAGGAAAGGGCTTGGTAAGGACACACTGCCTTTTAAATGTGGGTACTCTAAAATTCTCAAACATATAAAATGCTATCTTTGAGTCTACGAAGAGTTTCATAAACCTTAAAATGGTAATTTCTCATGCAAACCAGCATTTATTAGAGTCACAAGATAAAGATCTCATTAAAGCATAAAATTTTGTGTTCTAAACATAGATTTTAATAAGAATTTCCTTTCAAAATGGATTCTAAATAAATATACATTAAATAACATTTTTTATTTCAACTGTATAATAGTTATAAGGAAATAAAAATCTTATGATTTCTTTTTTAAAATAGTAATAATAAACTGTTAAATGTAATAAAGTTCCTTTGAAGACTGCACTACATGTAAAATAATGGATCTCTATGTTTGCTAAAGATCTTTGTTGTCTCCTTTTCACAGTGAGGATCGCAGGAGTTATACTCCCAATAGCAGTAACCTTGACAGTCTTGGATGGTAAGTCTTCTGCAGGATGACATAGGCATGCACTGTCTGCATGTGCTTATCATTTTTCTATCATTTACCCAGTAAATAATTGGTTTGTAAGTGTGCACGAAAGTAAACTGGAGTCGTTACATTGGTCCAATTTCCTTTTTTTCTGTAGTAAAACTAAAATCTTAATGAAGATTCCCAACTCAAACTACCACAATAGGCAAAATAATTTGGCCACATGTCCAGTAGCCAATGAAAGAGGCAGAGTGATGGCCAACAGTGCAACCAGAGAGGAGGTTCATGGCCTAGATCTTACTTGGAGAGGACTACCATGAATGTTTATTAAATTGAAAAACATTTTTTTAAAGACAAGATGGACATAACTACACAGTTTTACAGTTTTGGTAAAGATGTTATCTCCTTGTTCTTTGTCTCAAAACTGGTTCTGTGACGTTGTCTCTAAGGCTTGAGGGTAACAGTTAATTTGAGAGTTGTTACTCCTGCTCCAGGATGGGATTGTTTCTATTGGATAATTGCCCTCTCTGAGATGCTAACCTCTTCATTCCTTGCACTAAGAGGATGACCTATCTCTGTGCTTTTATGTGTGATTTGTGTATCTCTGGGTGTATATAAAGGTAGAAGTTTTAAGGATT